CACAGACTGCCCAAGCCATCACTCTGGGTCCTTCCAACCGTTGATACAGTGGTTTCCCCACCGCATATAGCATCCTTGGTGCGGACAAGCTAAAGGAACAGCCGAGGGATGATTAACACAGCATCTCTGAATCCAGCCTGATATACTGGTTAGGCTAGAAGCTCTCTACATGCATGGCTGCCTCTTCCAAGAGGTCTACACCAGTCCTCCTCTACATCAGCTCCGGCCTCCAAGTGCGCACCCTGCCTGAGTTCCTGCCTTGGCTTCCCATAATGGACTCAGGATACATAAGCCAAGCAAACCCTTTGCTCCCCAAGTTGCTTTCGGTCATGGGTGTTTAATCACAGCAGTAGTAACCCTGACTATGACAAGTCTTGTCAAGTAGTAACTATTTAGTGTATGTCAAGCTATGCTCCCACCCCCAACCCCGGCAGTGGCAACTGGATTGCCACTGAGGTCCTGGTGCCATCATTTCTGCTGGGGTAGCAGTGGGAAAAGCTGCATAGAACTCAGACTGTGGACAAGCCCCTGTAGTAACTCTCTTAAAGGAAGTTGGGTTCCATTTCCTTGGAAGAATTCTCACTGGCTCCCGGGCTATGTGGTAGTAGCAGCTGGAAGGAAACACAGACCCAAAGACTGTTTGCTGTTCAGGAGACCAGGCCTAGCCACTACTGCTCTGCGGTCTCAGCTAACCCTGGCTCATGCAGCTCTTCTGTGGGCTGGGTAGTTACCTCCATCCCTAGTTATTACCCATCAGATCCCCTTCTTGAACCACGATTACTATCAAGAATGTCTCCAAGTATCAGTGACTATTCCCTAGGGGACTAAAATCCCCCCTGGCAGAGAGCCAGTGGTCTAGAAGATTCTGAGCATGGAGGGCTATAAGGACCCATGGCACTGGCTATCTGTTTCAAACATCCCTAGACTTTTGCCTGGTGGTGTAAAGGGGCCTGCTGGCCTTCAGGAAGGAAAGTCACTGCTCTCTGTCCTGGTAAGTAGGGTGGCATGTGGCTGTCCTACTTCTAACAGGTCAGCAGCTACTGCTGGAAATAGCTGATAGCCAGGAACCAAGGAGGCAGAGTACAAAGTCATATCCACTCTGATCAGGAGGGAGAGGAATCCACCTTTCCCCTGTGGCTGTCTACCCAGGAAGCTCCTGCTTTCTCTCAGACCACATGCTGAGAAGGGAGCCTGGGTCATTCTTCTAATGAGGCTGCCTAACATGGCTATGGAGCAGACCCCTGCCCTGCAGGGGGCCGAGACAGGAGTGTCAGGCTTTGAGATGTAAGAGCATAGGGGCTGAAGGTGGATTAGCCAGGGGATGGTTCTCCAGCACAGGAAGCTTTGGGAGTGACTGACAGAGGGGCGTTTGGGATCCATGGCAGAAGAGAAAACACCCAGCTCTTCCATCATATGGCTACCTAAAAAAGCAAGCATTATAAAAAAAAAGTAATTTTTATGCTGCCTTAATTCTCCACCAGAGTCCTGCTTTAGAAAACAAACAAAACCACAGAAGGAAAAGAATGTAACAAAGACCTTTGTGAATGTGGATACTTGTTAAGGGTATGCTCTTAGCATGTCACGGTTCTCAGGGTATGAGGCATGAAACATGTTCTACTCCCTCCCCCAATTAAACTTGCATAAGTTAACAACTTGATCAATGCCAAGCAGTGTCACACTACTGCCACCTTCTGGTCAGGTCCTAGAATTGCCAGTATAATATCCATAGACAAAACAAGTAACAACCTGCCACCCCCCCCAAACGAATATCCAAACCATCAAATTAAAACAAAACAAAGACACTGAAGAAGTTATGGTCCTTATCTACAGGGACAGCATGATTGCTGGAGCCCTTCTATTCTTAAATTCAGGGCTGCTGACCTTTCTTGGATGGGGTATAGCAGAAGCCGTAACAACAAAACAAAGTACAGAGAATTACCAGAGCTATGGCACATTAAAATAGTCATGCAAAACATTTCCACAATGGGAAAAATACTTGAAAATTACAAAACTCAAACACTTCCATATCAGGACCCACTGACTACTAACCATAGATGCTAGCAGTAAGACATAAATTGACTGGAACCCCCCCCCCACACACACCATCACGTAGGTACAAGTATAGGCACACAGACAGATACAACAACTGCCCTGTAGAAACATAAAAAAACCAAATGGTGTTTGTGCCAAAGCTGTATGAACCCGGGAGACTGCAGAGTGCCGAAAAGTCATATGAAGAAATGCATTTGCCGTGGCAGCCAGTCACTGAGGCCGAAGATAAACTGTGGGACTGAAGCAATCTGTGGAAGGGTGGAGCTCTCCGAACAACCTTGCAGTCGGGAGGAGGGGTGAGGGTGCTGCCGCCACAGCAACGGCCATTAGCCAAGCCTGGCGCTTACAAGGGGTGGCGTGGGTATGGGTATTTGTGGTGGTGGTGTGGGGGGCGGGGAGTGGCAGACTGAACCAGACACTCCAGAACACCAGAAGACTGATGCATAAGGGGCCTTGACATTGCTTCTTGCCCTTGGCACCGAGGTGATGCATCTAAAACAAACATCTTGCCTTGAAGTGTGCTATGACAACCAAGTTTGCTATAGATAGTCCTCCAGGGCCCCCTACTCGAAGCAGGAATGCTCACTCCTGACTAACACTTCCAGAGAAAATTACTCGTAAGAAGATGATTAATAAAAAATGAAAAAAATTACGGGCTTCCAGTAAGGGCTGAGGAAACCCTCAGCCAATAGTTGCTGCAGAGATAATTGTTCTGAATCTATCAATAATGCTAAGCTCCTCTTCATTGACTGCAAACACCAATTTCTTTCAGCCAGGATTATAAGTTGGTGTTCCAGGGCTCACTACTGCCATTACGGTGATAAACAGTTGAGACCACAACAGGATCTGACATGTAGATCAATTCTGGGTCCATAAAGAATCTACACAAGAGGTTCCAGGACAGGAATTTACAGCCACCAGTTTTTTATTCTCTCTTGCTGCAAAAATTACTTCTGTCAAACACTTAGGAGAGTGAGGAAAAATGTAAAAAAATTAATTTTTCATGTACTACTGGCACAGCCTTTTTCAGTGCAGAAGTGCAAGACGAATATACTCGGCGTTTAAAAAATTACACGGCGCAGCATGTGGTACTTAGTGGAAGAGGGATCCAATCCCCGGTGTTGCTCGCAAGCCAGCAGACAGCAATTTGAAACCCTGAACAGAGCTGTCTGGGTTTTCTCTGAGGGCAGATGCCGGGCTCACGTTAGCAATGCCAAATTATATTAGACGTTTAATTTTAAACCTCAGGTATTTAAATGTAAAGCCCTACAACAGCAACAGTCATAAAACGGTGGGGCATTCCATCTCACAGAATGGGTTCCTCTTGCCTTCTCCTCTTAATTTAGCCAGCGCCTCCTTCCTCCAGTTCTAGCCACTACACAGTCATCTATCTAATTAGGAGTTGCTCGCAGCTGCTCAGAGGCAGAAGCCCCAGGGGCACCTGTGTGTCAAAGGCGAAATATTGAAAAGTTCTCTGAAGCTGAAATCTTAATTCAGGGTGGACGAGAGGGCAGAGAAAACGACTTCTAGTGCTGGGCCACAAGACAAGTCCTTCACTATGCTGTGGAGGCCAACCTAGTGCTTCTGGGCTCTGCCGGCACTGCCGTGTGACAAGCTGCAGGTCACCCTGACATACAGACCAGAGACCGGTGGTGTGTGTGTGTGGGGGGGGGTGAGGTGAGGTGATGGGTAAAGTGATTATAAAAAGAAGGGTCTTGTATCAACTAAGTAAAAAGGAAAACATGATGGAAAGCCTCCCCCGCTTGTCTCCTTGGTTACTGCATGAAGCACGGAGGGGGAGTGTTTGACGATGAGCGGTCTTATAACACGTACACATTTTACTTAAATTCCCATAGGATTCTGTGCTCCTGTCTTCCTTAAAAATGGTGGAGGTTGGGGCTGTGCATCAGAGGCGGGATGGCACTAACCAGAGGTGGTACATGGTACCCTAGTGTTTGGGGACAGCCTGGGCTCCTGCCTTCTAGACAACTCCTGGGATCTGCTTGTCAGAAACCCCTTGGTTCAGGTCACCTTTCCTGACCCCACTTGTAGCTTGCTTCTGGGCAGTCTCCCTCCATTTGTCTCCATTTGCTTGGTCTGCTGGAGCGTTGTGGAACCACCCGAAGTAAGATGGTGCGTACCCAAAGCAAGCATCCTGCTGCAGCAGCTGGTGGGTCCACAGGGAAGACCTGACGTGGAATCTTTTAATTAGAACAAATTATGCTAAAATGACTCTCAAACCCTGCCTGATAGATTGCATACAACAGTGGGAATTCCCTTAAATACCGGTGAACAGGCCACAGACAGAATGCCACGAGCAAAGCAAGCTGCACCAGCCCGCGCACGGGGCACACTGCATAATTCATGTTGTCACACATACGTCCAAAGGCAGTTTCCAGGGGGCCACATCTGTCCCCCAAGAAGCAGGCCACACTTGCCAACAACTATGGAAATCTAGGAGAGATGATTGCAGAGGGGATTCCCCAGAACTTCGAAGCTTACACCAGGAACCCTGGAAGACTAAGATAGAATGAAATGACTAGACAGGAAGTGCAAACTGTGTGTAAATGGTGAGATGCTAGCGATCCACAAAGGGCAGAAGGCTGGCACGAAACATCTGACCCCCCTTTGCAACTTCACTGCATCCCTGCTGAACAACCGCAGTAAGACACTCGTCCCATCCACAGCCTCAACTTCCAAAGCTGACCAGTGAAGAGGATTCAAGGTCTGCATCCAGACCAGGAGAGAACAGATGAACGATGGGATGTGGATGAAACAGGAGATCAAGGACAAAGTGCTTACAGATGACTGGTGAGACATGTGTGCCACTGTCACAGCAGCCCCATGGCACCATGCTCCCCGTGGAGCATGGGTGCCCTGGGCATTGAGCCCAGCCCCTGGCTTTCACAGAGGACCTGGAGATGGCCGCGGTCTGTGCCCCCTCTTACCACTGCTGATGGCTGAGTTTGCAATGACTGTAGCGTCACTCCACTGGTCGGCACTGGAGACTGAGTAGGAGCGCTGGTGCATGCCATCGGGTCGGCTGTTGAAGGAGACCAGGCTGATGCCGCTTGCCATCTGAGACCCAGACGCACTAGTGACATTCCCTAGGAATAAACAAGTCAGGTGAACACCACGACGGACTGCAGACCACAGAAGCCAGCACGACCTCGTCTATGGGGCTTCACACTGTCACACGTACCTGACCTTTGTGCTCTGCTGTCATCCTGCTTACGTGGCAAATCAAAGGACGCATCATACTGCACAAAATCACGAGGAAGAAAAGGGTGCTGTGGACCCCAGAGGGGCCCCACTGAGCAACAGTGAAGGAAGGCTGTGGATAACTGTCCACGAAACTGTTACAAAGATGAGTGGCCCTACTGCAACCTCTAAAGACAATGAGTCCAGAAAAAGAGCCACCACAGGACAAAAAGGATACCACTGGAGGCTGGTGGCACACAGGCTCACCCACCGGGAGTCAACTGTCTGGTGCCAGGGGATGTTGTTCATAGGGCTGCTATCCCTAATGATCAACATGTACTAAATCTCCAGAGGCCCCACGGTGGAGGTGGAAGCCTGACTCCTGACCTTGTAAAGATTCTGCAGAACAAAAAAGTCACCCCAGTGGCTTCAGAGCTCACACAGACAGCAAAGAAAGATAGTTCTGTTGTAGGCTTAATGACTTGAGTCAGTTGCTCCACACCAACTTTGGACTCAAAAATATAATTAGGTGCTTTTTTGCCCCTAAGGCCCAGCCAATCATGACCAAGCTTGTGAATGGGTCTGTGAGATAGACATGTGGATCTCTGGAGATAATGGCTTCTTTTCTTTTTTTTCAAAGACAGTGTCTGTCTACATAGGAACTCACTATGTAGACAAGCTGGCCTCAAACTCACAGAGAAGGCATGCACCACCATGCCCAGCTACTGGTTTCATAATTCTTAATTTTTCTAGTAGTTTTGGTTCAGAACTCAGTATGCTCTAAACTGTTTTAGTGGGCGGGTTTTCATGGGGTGGGACTGTTAAGTGAGTAGCTCATTAGTAGTTTCTAAGTCTGGCCAACTCTCAGATATTCTTATGGAAAATCAGGCTTTAAAAAAATCAGGCTTCTGATTTTGGTGGATGAGGGATAGGGCTGGAAGAATGCGCATTCTTGTGAACTTGGATAGTCATGTGAACACACACACACACACACACACACACACACACACACACACACACACGCACGTGCGCACAGAGGGGCGGGGCAAGTTAGAGTCCTTTCCTAGAGGCAGTCTGGAAAAGAACACCAAAACATGCTAAGTGAAGTATATACTGGTTATTTTTCTCAGCACTATGACTAAACACCTGAGGAAAGTCACTGAAGGGTAGAAGTTCCTGCTTGGCTCACAGTTTGAGGGTACAGTCCATTGGTCACATTGTAACTACAGCTATGAAGTCCAGCGCCACAAGCCAGGAAGTCCAGCGCCGTAAGCGCTAGTACTCAACTGAGTCCTCCAGATTGATGCCGTCTGTGGCTACAGCTCAGGGAATAGTGCCACTCACATTTATGGTCAACTCTTTTCACCTCAACTAAACCTAGTCACAGACACATCTCCCTGGTGATTCTGTGACCATTCCAGTTGACAGTCCGTATTAACCAACACAAGGATGCCTCTACATTAAAAGCAGAACCAGAACAGAACACCTATTCTTTGCTGTTGTCTCAACTGAGTATGGTTTGAATGTCATAGGGGAAATCACCATGCCAGTGCAGACCCAAATCCGCAAGTGACAACAAAGGGAAAGAACTCAAGGTCACAGACCTCCCTGCTCACAGTGAGGTCCAGGGGCCAGAGAAGCAGGCCTGAGAGTGTCCAAAATGCAGAGTCCCAGGCCACCTGGTCCCCCCATGTCTAGATATCCAGATTATGTGAGTGAGTGGACCTTGAAGGGCTCTAAACACAAACCAAGGACACAACCACAACTGCAAGCAGAGCTCTTCATCCCCACAGATGTGTAGGCCGGGTGCGTGAGTGTGTGTGCCTGTATGTAAGTGTGTGCGCGTGTGTAAGTGTGTGAGTGTTGGTATGTGGGGAACGTGGGTGGTGGGGCTCTGGTCAAAGCCTCAGGGCCAGCATCCCCCAGTCGTTATGTTCTGAAGGCGCAGGAATGTCTTAACACCCTGGAAAGGAACAGGAATATTCTGAGGCCACGAATAACAAGACCCCCGCTCTTGCCCCCACTCCTCCTAGCAGCTGGGGAGGGGCCGCTGTTACCAAGGAGACACTATGCACAGCTGCTGGGGTTCTTCTCCTGCCTCCCGCAGTACAGAGGCAGCATCCTCCAGGTAAGCGAGGGCCTCCCTGCACAAGGAACATAGCCGGGGCTCTGGTAGTCTGTGCCAGCCATGCTCCTGACGTAACCCCTCTGCCAGGCTGTTCTCCTGGGTCCACTGCTTCTAGAGTCTCAAGAGCCAGACTCAATTAAGAAGAGCAGGGCAGGGGCGTGAAAGAGGGAGGGCAATGAGCCTCGAGTTCCAGTTGTGAGTCTGTCCCCTGGGCCCTGCTTCTCTGCTGGCACCATTCCCACCAGCTCTGGTGCTCACACATCTTTCTTCCTGGGCACCCTGACGCCACACATAAACCCATCTAGAGTGTATTTACTGAAGAGCCAGCACACGCTACCCCAGGTCTCCCCATGGGGTCCCTGGAGACAGAAGCTGCGGAACACAGCTAACAGGACGGAAAGAGAGCAGTGCCAAGGGTGTCGGGTGTGGTGGGGCACACTGAGAACCACAGTACTGGAGGGTTAGAGACAGGAAGACAGGAAGCTAGCTCCAGCCCAGCCTGGGCTAGCGGATCCTTCTCAGAACAATAAAATAAAAACAAAAATAGATTCTATGCATCAGGGAGTGAGGGGAGAGGTTCCTCCTTGGTTTTCCAGGCCCTCTGGCCCTATCCAGCCTATAGAGATGCCTGCCAATTAGCAACATGTCAAGATCATTCTGCCTACATGCCTTTTATGCCAGCTTTAGGCCCACAAGGCCCAAACATCTAAGAAACTCAAAATGAACTTGTCCATCTTTGGTCCATGTTGACAATGCTCAACACCACAGCCAATGTTTCCTCTGTCCACTCTTTAGGAGGGTGCTGTCTGTGATGGTCAGCTTTCCAATCATCAATTTGACACACTTTAGAATCACCTCGGAAGGTAGTCTCAGTGAACGGTGGCCTGCGGTACATCTGTGGGGCACCGTCTTAATCAACTCAGGAAGGGTCACCCTGAAGAGGGTGGCTCCATTCCCTGGGTTTGGGCCCTGCGCTGTGTGGTAAGACGACGGGGAGTGTGCCAGACAGGCAGGACCGGCATGCGCATCTCTGCTCTCGACTGGGGATATGACGTGACATGACGTGACTAGCTGCTTCAAGTCCCTGTCTTGGCTTCCCTGCATCGATGGGCTGCAACCTGGAGTTGTGAGCTGAAATAAACCCTCTCTCCTTGAAGTTGCTTTTCATCAGGGCATTTTATCACAGCAACAGAAATGAAACTAACAGATGCTCAAATTTTTGGTGTTGTCACCTACAAAGTTTGCACTTGAGAATGGGGACATCACATTACAAGAAATAAGCACAACTGCAAAAAACAAAACAAAACAAAAAAACAAAAACAAAGAAACAAAAATCCCCAAAACAAAAACAGCAACAACAACAAAAAACCAGGCTTAAGTAATTTTGTGTTTGGCCGCATTCACAGCTCTCTCCAGCTCCATCTGACCTGGTTGGTGGTCAGACCTCCTTGCTGGAGGGTGGGTCTACATTTTGTAGACCTATAACTCCTAATGAGGCTTTCCTGAAGGATTCCCAAGTCTTTATCAACGCCCATGGAAACAGGCCTTGGAGAGAAACTTGGATTGCCTAGGGAGCAGGTCCATCTGAACTCACAGGGGCAGCACAGAGCATTCAGCTAGAGATGTCTGAAGGACTGGCTTAGGGCTGCCAGGGCTCTGTCTGCTGGTTGGCTGTCAGACTGCTGGAAAACGAGGGCGGAGTTTCTCAAGGTGTACATGCTATGGAGAGTACAGGCCAAGGCTGCTGACACATTCCTGGCTGCTCCTCTCAACTGCTAACCTGCTGTTTGTCAAATGAAATCTAAGCACAATCTAGATGTAGGAAGATGCTGGTGAGGCATTCTGGGGCTTGGCACAGAGCTCACCTGCTGAGCAGGAGGGAGTCCCCAGGGAACCAAACAAAACCTTAGGAGGCCAAGGACCCTCTAGCCATCCTGGCTGCTCTGAGAAAGCAGATACTCAGAAGCCCTCATTTCCCCAGACACCCCAGATCCCAACTGGGACACTAAACTGGAACACAATTTAAGGCACATGTATGACCACAGTCGAAAGTCGAATTCTGAGCTGGGCGTCTATTCCTTGTGGCCTGGTGTCATGCTCAGGAAGTGCTCACAGGTAACATTTTTGCTTAGGTACTCTTATTTTATTCTCTAAGTAGAGTCAAATTTTGGAGATTTCATCTCAAAATGACAATAACAATCAAATGGCCCATGGTTTGGGCTAGCAAAGGATTCAGCAGATAAAGGCATCTACTGTCTCTGATGGCCTGAGCTTTATCCCCTGGGACACAGGCAGAGGGGGGAGAGAACTGACCATCTTAAGTCCTCCGATCATAAAATGCCCAATACATAAAAAATTAAAATGTGGCTTCTGAATTACTTGACCAATGCGAATGTCTGGCAGCTGTGGTCCTGGCTTTGCTCCTGGATACAATAAGCCAGTACCGGCTGACTGACTTGACTGCACTGCCCTGCTCTCTACTCAACACCCACTGGTTTCTACTCTCTCATGACTCAAAATTCAAGAGCTTACAAATGCAGAGGGAAACATGTTAGGAAGTTAACAATTCTATAAAACTCTTTCTATATGTACTAATTTATTCATTTTAATGATAGTTAAGACTTGTACTGATTGTGACACAATAAACGAAAAATGTTGTCTCTGTCAGGTGTGGTAACACACTCCTATAGTACCAGCACACAGGAGCCAAAGGCAACAGGATGGCTGCAGGTTTGATGCCAACCTTGTCTCCATAGTGAGCTCCAATTTATATAATGA